ACTTCTACTTAAGCAAAAAAGAGATAAAAAGAAAATTGAAGGAAATTGAGGTCTTATAAAGATAGAAAAGATAGAATATTTTTTTTAAATTACTCTTTTAATTATTCACAAATGCTAAAATTTAGTATTTAATAAGTTATCTAAGTCTTACAAATTCTTTTAACACTCTTTCAATCTACTATTTTATTTTATTATTTTAAAATGCTATTAAATAAATAATATATCTTTAAATCAAATAGAATAGAGTTATTTTATATATGATATATCTATTACAAAAAATAAGAGTCTACTCAAGGAGTTGATACAATTATCCAAGAAAAACTCATCATTTTTAAACAATATGAAACTTCTAATATATATATATATATATATATATATATATATATATATATATATATCTAAGTAAAAGCTAATACTTCTAATTTCTAAAACTAATAAATAAATATTTAATCTACTCAAATATCAAAAAAGCACCAATAATAAATAAAAGATATATTTTATTTACCTAAGCATGTGTGGGCATGTAATCTATTAAAGAACCTAATAGATAAAAGCACAAATTCTACTAAAAACACAAAAATAAGCACATAAGAGAATATGTAGAATATGTTGTCTCTCACATCTACAATCCATCACTTACAAGTAGTAGATACAATTTGAGATGCCTTATTGTTGGTCTTTACAAGATCCTATCTATGACAACAAGATTCTATGATATCTACAATTAGATCTTATTTCAAATTGAAAAACAATATTTAGTCTTTGATTACCATCAATTTATTTTAATAGAGGCTTTTCACTACTCCATAATTATTCCTTACTTCGATTTACTTCAACAATTTTTATGCAGACTTTTTAAATTTATTTCATAATATATAATATTTTATTTAATATTTTTTAAAATGTATAAAAATATCACAATATCATAATATTTTATTATACATTAAAATTTAGTTCAAAAAATAATAAAACATATAAAATTTATTTATTTTTTTTATTTATTTTTTTATTTATGTTTTTTAATTATTTTTATCTATGACTTAATTTTTATTATATAGTATTTTAGCTTCATAAAAATATAAAAGCAACATTTTCACTATTTTTAATTTACAAATCAAGAAAAAAATAAACTTCCAAAAATCTTGTTTAATCTTTTAAAATTTTATATATAATAATGTAAAATTTTAATGAATAATAAATAAAATAAATTTAAAATTATATGTATATAAATTTTTGTAATTTATTTAGATAGTATATATATATATATATATATATATATATATATATATATATAAAATCAATTGTAGAAGAAAGAAGAAGAATGACATTAGAAAAGATCATGGAGATGCTATAGACTTAGATCTCTAAAGAAAATAAGTGCAAGATGATATTACAATTATATTTAATAATAAATTATATTTAAAACGAGTATTTTTTTTTTCTATAGAAGAATATTAAATCAATCTACCTACATTTTAAATCAACTAATTCTTATGAAAATACAAAAAATTGTTAATCATTTTCATTAGTTAGCATCTTCAAAGACTTCTCTTCTTGTTATATCTTTAAAGTTGGTCTTTTTTAAGAATTTACTTGCAATTTTTTTTAACTTTCTTATAATGTAAAATATTCTTCATACTACATATATGTACCTTTGCAATTAACCTCTTGCACTCAAATTTTCTACTCTTTTTTTAAATTGCTCCATTACAATTCTTCCAAGAGTTTCATTCTCTACCATTTTTGCTTCCTTGCATAATCAACACTAAGTATAAAATTGAGAAATTGGTGAGGAAGTGTGCAACCCTAAACAATGTGGGAGTAGAGCAGAGTGGAGACATACATGTTAATTTAAATCTTTAAAGCATTGATTTAATATTCCATTTAATATATATAAGATAATGTTAAAATGACCCAGACTTTTGTTAAATTGACCCACATGTCCAAACCATAATTGCACCGTTTCACCTCCCGTCCTCGTTCCCCCTGTTCCTCCAGCCCCATCCCAGTTCCCCCCGTTCTCCCCGTTCCCCCCGCCCCGTCCACGATGAAGTCGCATCGCCCTGCTCCTCTTTCAGCCTACCCTACCTCATCCGACTGAGCTCGATCACGGCCTTGATTATTCTCAGCAAGTGTGTTTCCAGGAACAAGCTGCCCAAAATCAACGCTATAAAAGCGTAAAGATAAAGCGTACGAGGTTGTAATCTGGACTGCGCCAGTACGTGATAAATTGCTTCCACAAGATGGTTTTCAGCTGCTTGAAGTAATTTTGATAGTACTTCGTTTCAAAGCACAAATCTTTTGACCTGATTATGGAGTTTTGAGCTCCTCTACAAGTTGCACGTTGCAGCTGCATTCCAGTCCACCCATCTCACATCAATCTCAAAATTCCAGCCTCACATCACTACACAGTTCGATAATTAGAAAGAGTGGCTGAACGTGTCTGGAAGGATATAAATTTGGCTTACCAGTAAAGGTCCGATGTCAAGTAAAGCATTGCGAAGTCCACTCCAAGTTGATCCTCAATTCTATTGTTTGTCACTTCCAGCATCCACGTGGCTGGGTTGTACCCTTCTTGATTTTGGTAACTCCAGGGATAGCCTATCAAGTACAGCTCGACCAAACATAATATCATCCCCGTGCACCTTATTGCTACATTACCATATGTACAAATAAGTGAAACCGAAGTATTAGCAAAGTGTGTATCTCGATCATGAAAGAGAGATTCAATCCCTTGACATACCTGGAAGTATTCGATAAGCTCCTCAGAATTGTGTCCCAATGGCCCGTTATAAATCACCAGTCCTCCACGCTTCAGAAGAAGCAACTCATCAAAAGCTTTGAAGATGTCAATGCTGGGTTGATGAATAGCGCATACAACAGACTTCCCCGTGTCCACCGTGTTGCGCACAGTGCGCATCACAAAGGCAGCGGCTCGAGTGTCGAGGCCACTGGTAGGCTCATCCATGAAGATGATGGAAGGACTTGCCACCAACTCTATCGCAATGGTCTGACGTTTCCTTTGCTCTATCGACAACCCGGAGGTTCCAAGCAACCCCACCAATGCATGCTCGACAGGGCTCAGCTTCATCACTTGGTCCACAATTTTCAGCTTGTCTTCATCGGAGATATCGGGGTCTAGACAAAGCCAAGCAGAGTACACAAGCGACTCGCGCACGTCGAGTTGAGAGGAATGGATGCCATTCTGCTCGCAGTATCCCGAAATCCTGGCAAATGTTTCATGCACTTTGGGATACCCAGAGATTCTAATGTCGTCTTCTACGTATCCGCAAGTTTTTCTCCGTGCCAAGACGTCCATGAGAGTCGTCTTTCCAGCTCCACTCACATCCACTTAAGCTGTCAGCACACCAGGTTTGAAGGAGCTTGTAATGTTGCTGAGCAGCTTCAACTACTTCTCTATCACACCTTCATGCTTCATTTCAGGGGGCAGGCCGACATAGTAATTAATACATTCAAAGGAGATCGACAAGGGCTCGTAGGGAAAGACCATGTCCTTCACCGCTTTGGGCACTACCATGTTCCTGTTGATGTTACTTGAACGCCGACTTCGACTCAGCTGTGCTTCCCGCTTCAAGGTTTTCTTCTGCGGCCGCACTGCAGCTCTTCGTGATGTAGAACGGTATTTTAGTGAAGATTCTGTATCAAGGGAGCTTCCTGCTTTGGCTGTTTCCTTCATTGCTAGATCTTTTTCCGACATAATTGCTTGCGGCGTTTCGGTAGCTGATTTTCATGGCCAATACGTCGTTGTTTACATCAATGTACTTGATCAAGGGACTAATCTATGAAGCCGACTTTGGAAACAAATCAACTCACTCATAATAAATTAGACTCAAAGTTCGAATATGAATAAGTGTAACATATTAATACCAGGCATGAATCCAAGTGCAATGGTGAAGCCAATGTTACATATGCACTCTCTGCATCGCAGCTCTCGAGCCCGATTTCTAAACAAGCTACAAGTTGTGGCGATAATAGCGTCCGCTCCATTATGCATCGACCTCAAAACCAGGTTGATACGAGATCATTATTTTATTTCGTCTGTAAGTCTTTCGTTCCGGTTTAGGAGGTTTGTGCTCACGATCCGCATGCTCTGATTCAATTGCAGCACCGAATTCTGAAGCATTGCTGAGCCGCTTTGAACTTCGAGCCGAGCATGCACGATAACAGTCCATAAATTCCATGCAGTGACATTGCCCAAACGAGGACAGGTGCTGGCGGGGTCGGGGCTGGGGAATTGGGGAACGAAGATGGGAACTGAAGGGGTGCAATGATGGTTTAGACATGTTCACAATGGGGTTCACAAAAGTCTGGGTCATTTTAACATTTCATATATATATATATATATATATATGTGTGTGTATAAATCAATTAAATATTCTATTATAGTTCAACCAATCATTATTGCACTACACCAAATGTTACAACATAAATAAATTCAAACAACAATTTAGATTTAATAGCCTACTAAATAAAGGCTTAAACTACAAGCACATCTCAAATTGTTATATGCACACCCAAAGCTTCTAATTGGCTGCTTTGAGACATCCTCTTCATAATCTTGGTGCAAGTACCAAATCTCCTCCACTACTCAATCCCAATGCAAGTCCCAACCCCAGCACTTTTCCCAGTCCATGTCCCTAATCTAGGTGATGTTCCCAGCCCTTGTTCCCTTCTATGTTCCCAATCCTTATGCAAATGTCAATCTCACCCCTGACCCCTTGCAATTGCTGGTCAATTTAATAAACCATGTTTCTATTTTCTTGGGTGTTCATATAACAACTTGGAGTGTGCATGTAACTTGATTCCTCACTAAAATGTGCTGATAAATCAAATGTGCCGATAAATCAACCTCATCACGAGCGTCCCCGCGCACAGTAATACCCTACCTCCTCAACACGACACATAATCGTCTCCAAATCACACGGTGATACCCCACCACCCCGGTCCGCGAACTCTAGAAAGCGAGATCTGGAAGCCGCGGGCCTAAGGGTGGGAGGGGGGAGCGTGCAATCGGCGGCGATCATCCCCGAATTAGCTGCCCCGCCCGCCGCATCAGGGCGAGAACATTTGGTTTTGGATAGATTAAATGCGCGGGGCTTGCGATCATCAGGGTTGTAGTCACGGCGCTGGCTCGTTGCATCTGGCACCCCGATCATGTTCCACGCTTCGAAGCGCTGTCTGTAGCTGAATTTTGAGACAATTTTCGAGATCCCTTCACAGCTGCGCGACCTCCATCATGGTGGGTGGTGCATCAACCCTAAGCGATTCTCGATTCCGTGTTTGCCCGTGATTGTGCGTCTTCTCATTTTGCAGTGTTGGTTGTGCTGTGACGAGGTGGGGTGTTTAGGGTATGGTCAATGTGCAGAGTTTCTAGATGGGCTTGTTTGATCCTCTTGTTTTTTGGTTGGTTTTAGGAATTGGCGTACTCTTGCGGTGAAGTAGGTTTTTGAGTTGGAGTCTGTTGGATCGATCTTCGTTAGGTCGGCTAGTGAAAATGCATCTCCCGCTAAAATGTGCAAGTGTGGAGGTAACTTTGCGAAAAATGTTGGTGTGTGTATGTGTGTTTATTTTTATTTTTATTTTTTTTTGTTGGTTACACTTTTTTGCGACTGGTTTGTTCAGGCGATGTTCATTAGAGTGAAGCGCAAGAAGACAACATATTTTCTTCACTGTGATCCCTCGGAGACTGTGGTCGAAACCAAGCATAAGCTGCACGCTTTAAGTGATGTGCCTGTGGATCAGCAGCGCCTCATTCTGCTCCCTTCACATACTGTGCTTGACGATAACAAAACTCTTGCCGATCAGAAGGTGAATGAACTATCGAACGAATTGTTATGACGTATTTTGGTCATGTCTTCGGTAGCAACACACATTGCAGAAATGTCTGGTTTTGTTAGAACTACCCTTGTGTTGCAGGCAGTGTTTTAAATTTAAGTTTGATTACAATTTTAAGTTGTCCTTCTCAATTGTTGCAAATGCTGTTGCTTGATTTGCGATCGTGTTTCTAAGTTGAGATTTTGTAACCGACAAGTTTTTAGGTGTGCCGCCTCTTGTTTAATTATGCGGCTGCTGATGTTTTAAACGAAAGCATGATACCAGATTAGTGCAAATACAACTGAATCAATCACATTTTTTTTTTACACGCAGGAATTTTGTCGGTAAGAAAAAAGTACTCTGTGCTCAGCCTCTCATGTGCATTTTGCAGGTGGAGAATGATGCAGTTGTGGCACTTACTTTGAAGATAGTTGGTGAGTGACGCTTTTGTCTTGGAGTTCATCCAGAATTAAGTTCCATATTTCTTGCATGGTTTCCAGGGTAGTCGTCTGATTATACTGGTCTTATTTTAGATGTCGGTGTTTTGTAATATGTTTCGTTAACATTTGCTATGGTGATGCAGAAACAGGTGATTGGGAGGAAGTCAACATTGAGAAGCCGGCAGATCATGCCAATCTCATTGATCCAGACTTAAACTGAAGAGGCTGCCGCTCGTGGATTAGAGGGATTTGATTGTCATGACTGATTTTATCAGGGTGGATAGCCACATATCTCTCGTGTGAAATCGATAGCATGTGAGGATCGTCCATAGAAGGATGATTTAGAAAACACCTCGCTCGTGTGAAAATTACTGAAGAGGGCAGCAATCAAACCTTTTAGAACGTGTGCTTGTGAGTCACCTTTATGGAATGTGGTTTCTAATGTTCCAAAATCGCAACGCAAATTTCCGAAATAACCGACAGTTGATCCCTCTTACAAAGTTCTTCACACACAGGTGTAATGATCCTTTCATTGTGGTAGTTCTACCAACTGTACTTACGAATTCCTATTTTTCTGTAGCACTTCCCTTGAATGAACATTAGATGTTTCTAGTGTTTTGGTGAAGAGACTGCCACAGCTTTTCCATTTGTTTATAAATCAATCTATCCAGCATGAATGTGCCACAAAGTGGTTTAGTATGTAAAACGACCAAGTATGATATTCATTCTTTGCAACTTCTGGAAGCATTTTCTTTCTTTGCACCGCGGAAAAGAGTTTCCATAACTAATCCACAATTCTAATCCCTGTAAATTATGAAAAAAAAACACGTGGTGCGAGTACTGTGACTGCCAACAATTCCAACGTAGCAGGTGTGTTCTAAATCATCCTTCTATGGACGATCCTCACATGCTCATATTTGCCTGTGACCACTACCAGGAGTCTGAATATCAGGCTCTACCAACTCGGCCAGACGGCTTCATTTCCTTCGTACATCTTGATACAAAAAGAATCGAGTGCAACTGGGGCAGTTCCAAGAAGGTGCCCCATTGCATCAAGCTCAGTCATTCTTATCTACAAACTCATGACTAGGAGCTGAAAAATCAAATATCCTAGAGAAAAAATCAAATTTTACGTATGCCTGTTTAAGTCATCCTCCACTTTTCTACATTCTTACTGCATCCTAGAGATAGCTTGAAAAAATCCCTGTTGACTCTGATCCTGCAGAGTTGTTGCCCGTGTCTGTAAATGCGAACTACAGGGTTTTTTCTTATGCTCTACCCCTGCCAGGCAAAGACGACGGCCAAGACCCAGAAGAAGTTGACTGTTTTGCTCTTTGGTTAAGGCTTTGGGTGCCGTGGCTTTCTGGGTCTGAGGAACGCCTTCCGTCATCTTGACAATACTTGATGAATCCCTGGTGCGGCTGTCGATACCTGATGCAGGACAAGGGAACAGGGTGGAGGCTGCATTCAACTGCATGGAAGAAGAAACGCCTTTAAAATGTTCAAAAATGGGAATAGAGACTGTATTTGCAACGGAGTGGCTCCCAGAAACTGAGGTGTTGAACAAAGAAGGAAAGGGGCCAAGGGTGGGTACTGACGTGGTAATAGAGATAGGGGCCTGACTGGTAAAATAGTAATGCCAGGACAATGGTATGGTATTTTCTAGAGGGTCCAAAAACACGTGTGTATGATTGGCACTATAAGATGCCATATGCTGCAACCCAGAGGATCTAGCTGTTGCAGGAATTCCCAAAGCCGTGTATGGCTCCAGAAACAAGTCCAGGTGCTGCGGAGTTTGATTGGTGGTAGCATTTTCGACTACAGGCTTCATCACTGCAGGCTGCTCTGCTACTGGTTGAGAGAAGGAGACGTCCACTACTGGGACGTTATTCTCTACCTGGGTCTTTATTAACATGGAGTCAGAGAGGAAGTTGTGGCTTAGAGATGACGTTGGAGGGTTCTTCGCTGAAGTTCTCTCAACTTGCGTTGACGCTGAATCAAGGGCTGGGGTTACAACCTGGCCAGTTTTCTCTCCCGGGGTTAAATTGTTCTCCTGGTGAGATGGAGTTGATGTAGATGAAGATGCCTTTTCTCCATGAACTACTTCGTACATCGGCCGTTTTGATCTGCCTTTGCCTGTGTCTTTACACCATAATAAAACATGTCACTCAGAAACATACTAGCCTCAAATATAAAAAAGACTTCCGAAAAAGGACAATAGGAGCTAACAAACAAGGGCAAACTTAGGATTGTTGAAAGATTCAAGCAAACTGAATTGAAAGAAAACAATTGAGTTCAGCACTACATCTACAAGAGACTTCCATGCCCAGCGAAATAATGCCACAAAGGAGAGTTAAAAGAAACAAAAACGAGCAAAGGATCAAAAAGGAACCTGAATCTGGTTGCTTCCGCTTAAGCCTAAAAATTAGTTTGCCCCTGTTATTTCCTTGATCACTGGGAGACTCTGCAGCAGGCACAGAACTTCCAGAGAGTAATCGGGCACATTCATTGGAGCTCAACGGTGGAGGGCTGTTCGCAGCAACCCCATCGAGGGCTGATGTTACCACATTCTTCGCAGGGGAATCACTTCGACCCCGTTCACGTACCCCTGAAAAAGCTGCTCCAGAACAACGAAGCAAGCCTGAACCATTTCGATCTTCCTCCCGAGGCTGGGGCAAATCTGTTCCGTTCGCTTGAGATAAGACGGCAGAAGCTGGCTTCATAGGTGTAGTCTTCATGCGGGCAGTATGCAGTTGGGTGGAGGCAGGATTAGATGCTACCAAAGAAGGAGCATTTGAAACAAGTCCTTCCATACTCTGTGATTGGACCTTTCTGCCCAGTGCATCAGACGCCATCAGATCCCTTCCCATTCTCTCATGGTCTAAAAATTGTAGCACTTCGTTTCTTGACCGAAACCTGTGTCCAGATTTCTGGTTGAAGTAATACTGCAACACGTGTGACACCAAGTTTTATGTCAGAGAGTCAATTTCGTACACATACAATAATACCATTCACCTCAAACTCTAAATAATTAGTAACCTTAAAGTAAATCTCAATTAAGTTGGAGCTCATGGAAGAACGCCTCAAGAAAAATTCTGCTACCTTCTTCGAGATCGTGCAAGAAATAAGACTGCTGTCAAGACCAATGCAGGGTTTGTGACGACTGATAGATGTACGACACTGTATAATCCAAAGTTCAATACGGTTATATCTGCTTGCAAGAATTATCAAATAAACCACGCAGTATTCATGCAGACATCGAAGGTGGGATCAACCTGGCATTGAGAAAGTCTAATATAGAAAGAAAAAAATACCTTGTCCCTAATACGAACTGGAGTTTTTTTTCCGTCACGGACCCTTATCTCCAATATCCATCCCTCTGGCAGCCATCTAGGCTGATGATCCGGTCGGACGTAACCTTCAGATGTGTGATCCTCAGTCACCTTGCACTGGAGATCAATGTCACCATTCATTGGAGATCTCTGCTGAGAAGGATTTGCTTTCGAGCGGCGTCGGAACACGTTGATTTTGATTTCTGTTTCAACCTCGGCAGAAGCACCAGTATGATGCTCAGCCTGCGGCAAAGGGATACTCCCTTCTCCATTGCAATCGGATGCCATACTAGGTTGAGTTGGTTTTACAGACATATTTGCTGGACCATGAATATCTGTTCGGCCAAGTGACCTTCGAACATAATGTTTGATTACTCTCTCACCTAGGGGTTCCTCATCCTTCACCTGCAAGCGACGTGCATCGTCTGACTTAGACGAAATATCTTTATGCTGCTCAGCCTGTGGCAAAGAGACACTTCCTTCCCCATTGCTAGCTGAAGTCATCATATGTTGATTTGGTTTCTCAATCATAGCTGCAGGACGATGAGAATCTGTTCGACAAAGAAACCTCCTTGAATAATGTTTGATAATCCTCTCACCTAGAGGTTCCTGATCCTTCAATTGTGAACGAGATACATCCTCTGACTTAGAAAAGCCACTATGTTCTTTTAATGCAGCTGACTCTGCTTTTACTATTTCAGTTGGAGTGCTCCGTTTTCTCTTTCGAGCATAGACCTTCACAACATCAGATACATCCTCCCCAAGATCTTGTCCAGTGCCAGAGTCGGACTCTCCGACAACAGGGGCTTCCTGAATCACCTTGCCAAAATCCTTCAATCCTGCGGACGCAGGTGATAGTACCTGGGCTTTACTTTGATCAATTTGATCGTTAGTATTAATGTGATTCCCATCTTTACCACCAATGTTTCCGATTGGAAATGGACCACCTGGACTGAACAAGATAGTTGGATCATCTAGATCACCAACAAATTCAGTATTCTGGAGTGTTTTCTTGATTTCTGATGTAGCTGTGTCACTTTTTAAACGTTCTACCCCTGTAACGTCTTCACAGCCATTGCAATGACCTTCTTGATACCTATTGACTTGATGACCATCGTCTGATGTGCTGTCAACAGAACCCAGCGCTAATGTCCTATCTTCTTTAACGGCCTCCAACTTCCCGACATCAATTATATCCCCATCCGTCACTCTAGTTAGAACAACCTGGCGTTCCCTGTCTAAACCGACACAGTGATCCAAGTTCTTTGCAACATCATTCTGGACCCCAGCTCCCAATGAGGTGTGCATTTCTGCACGTGCCACATTTTCAGCATCATTCTGAAATAGCTCATTACTGTGGTGCTCATATGCTTCATCCAACTCCGTGCTCTTTGAATAGCTTCTGTGTATCGGTGAGACTTCGGCCTCCTGATTAGACTTCGAGACATCTAAATTCTCATCTCTGAAATCCGCTGCAGCCAGCTGCATGTGTTGAACTTCAATGTCGCTGCAGATCTTTAGCTTTTTACCAGCATCTCCAGGAATTACATTTGCTAGTTCTACACTACTCTCAACCTTCTCTGCATCAAGTTCGGTTCTCTCTTCATCTTCTACAGCCAAAGACTTTATGAAACGATCATCCACGTCATGTCCACCTCCGTGACAATGCCCCATAGTTCCAGGACTGTCGTATGCATCCTGAACCCCTATCATTATCCTGGTTGCTGCAACAGAACAATTATGCAACTCTTCTTGATCCATACCCAGTTTTGGACCGTGAAGCAACTGTTTACTTGTTGGACTTCTCATTTTAATGACAAATACTCCTTCATCGCTGGAAGTGCTGGCTGTATCACCTAAATCCTGCTGGATCATTGTAGAGGCTGCATTTCTCTCTACTCCTTCAGAATCAATGAATACTGTTTTTACGTCGTCTTGTGCTGCAGACGCTTTCATATTGCCCTTCTTTTCGTCATACTCACTTGCCTCAACACAGCCGACCACTTTCATTCCTGCAATTCTTGCGCGAAGTTCATTCGTAATCCCTGAATCACTATCAGACATTGGTTCGTCTGCTTGATATGTCTGTAGCATTTGAATAACATTCGCAACTTTCTTCTCGATAAAACTATCCCGGGCCAATCGACTCGCAAATGAGTTGCAAGCTTGGGACTCCTTCGCTGGATTGCTTTTATCATTCAATAACCTCGCCCTCTTTGCAGGTCTTGAGCCAAATTCAACCACTTCAACCGATCTTTGTTGAAAATCAGCACTACATGTTTGTGTCGAATAAAATTTGAAATCTTCAGCAGTTTTTACTCCATCCAATGGTACGTCCCCTTCACCTTCACCCTCACCCTCGGTCAACATGGCTGAATTGCCATCCACAGGCGCATCTAAACCCACAAACTCGCTTCAGGGAGTCCTCATGTCGAGCCGACTTACTTAAGAGCCCTTATGAAACAGTAACGCGCTCCTTATCCTGATTATCGGCTTATTGGACATCAGAAATTCACGAAATAACATTATCACTCATACGCATTAACAAAATTAAATACCGCTATTAAAAGTAATATTCTAATTACTTAGAACCTGTCTGATTTCTGACTGACAAAAAAAATGCCGAAGGAATAGTTTTGATCTGTAGTCCTTCAAAGCTTGTTTTCCAATTTAGAAAGTGACGCAAAGCTTACCCCAGACGTCATCTGCACTTCAACAGGTCCCTCAGCTTAGCATTCGAAGTGGTTGAAATCAGTTGCCTGTCCCTTTTCAGAACCTTCAACCAATTGATACAAGGAGAGTGCTCCTTGCTTTCCTACTCGAGACCTAAAAACAGTTACAGAAGTGTCTACACATCAATGGGCAGCTACAAGGTCTTCTGGCCTCGAGCTCTCGGTAAAATACCTCCATCCGGGAATATTCAACACGACGGATAAACCGTTCACAACCAACTTAAGAAAAGAGTTATAAGGTTAAAGTGACATCTGCCACCAGGTCTTGGAGAATGTGTTGATTCGTATTGTCTTCAGGAATCCGAAGACTTAATCTGAAAGAGACGTGAGTATTTGTGAGGGAACAGTATTCGGAACGATCAATGAGAGATATGAAATTGTAACAAAGCTGATAAAAAGACACGAACTTCCACATCATCGACCTTCAAGTTCAGCAGACACCGGCAATGTTCCAAGTTCCTGACTACGTGAATTCCTACTTAATGTCAGCAGAAATGCAACCCTTCACTTTGTTCTTAATCTCAATGAGTAATACGCCCGAAGGTCACGTACAAAGGTGTCTTTCAAAACTAATGTCGTATCACCGAACAATGCCAGCAAGAATCTTTCAGAACACGGCCCCCACCAAGACGAATAAAAAGCATCTAATAACCTAAATTCCTTTTGTAATTTTAACCATTACAAATCAAAACCCTCCGTATACATTGCACAGGAGTATATTGCACAAACAACAAGTATAGCAATCTATCACATAGAAAATTTGTAGACCATGTAACAAGTTCATTTGCTCCACGAGTGCGACGACCATGTCAATCGCCGAAATATGCTAAAAAGGAATGAGAGTTTTAGGTTTAATATTCTAATTACCCAGTTCCAAAGGTTTCAGGTTAGCATAATGCACATGAAAGTCACACTCGACACAACTTCCATATCTGAAGTGGATTAGTTTAAAGTAGGATCTTGTACAGCATGCAACTACATAAACACCATCTCCTTGAAAAGCTCGCACAGGACCGTAGCGAAAAGAATTAAATGTTCCAGATTTGCAAAAATTGCGGTTGAAGTCAGGAACTCAAAAAGGGCCATGGATTTTGAATCTTTCGTTGATGATTGTTTAGCGTAATGAAAATTCAGTCCGTCAATGCCTCTACCATTCTATTACAACAGCATATGCTAATAAAGACCCTCTGTTCTCTGATTCTGTAGGAAGAGATCACATGAAGCACCCACCCTAAATATGATCTATGGCGAAATATCAAGCCTGCATTTTCCAAATTTTTCATTGATGAACTATGAATCAACATAACACCAACTGAGCCAAAGTACTCATGTCTGCAGAGAAGCTGCGGAATCGTAAAACTAAAATGAACACTCCCCGTGAAACTCTTTTCATATTCTTTAAGTAGATCACCTACTTCAATAGCAAGGATATTTTAGGTGAACAAAATGCAACCCTCATGCCAGAAGATCAACTCTGTGAGTTCATTATGGCCTATTAACACTTTCTATCCTAGTTAATTAGTGTGCCAATAATGAAATAGAGAGTACTTGATAGAGCAATTTGAAATTTCGTAATTGAAGCGACAATTGAAATATTGTTCCAAACACGAATACTTCATAAATTTCTAACCCCCTTCAGTCGGAGCACAATTCTCTCGGACCATGTGGATAGACAAGGAGTGTTTGCAAATTGGTACAAATGAGACACATGGACGGGGATCCACAACTCGTAGCTACAAAAAATTATCACATGTTATCCATGCATATCCTCGAAACCAAAGCTCGAACAAACTACACAAGACATAAGAAATAAGTGACTTCCTCACATCTGCATCGCACAGGCAAGCTAAGGACGGAGCTTTCGAAGATCCTAACGAGCGGATACACCAACACCGACCTAAAGTAATAGCATGCGCCAAACAACTAACGTGACTTGCAATCAATCACCACGAGGCACCTGCACACAACCGTCACTGGCACACCATAGTTTCCAAAGGGGAGGCAGTAGGTCAGGAAAACTACACGACATACCGAATATGCATGCCTTTGCGGGGAAGACAGCGCCCATGCAACCTTCCTAGAAAAGTTGGCGGCGGCAGAGCAACAAACTCGCCAAAGAAACGAACTACACCCAAGATAATTCCTGCCGCTCTGTGCTCCGTCGTGTCCCTCACAGCGACAGGGGCTTCCTCACGCCTGCGAAAAAGACCCCTTGGCGAAAACCTCGTATACCACCTTGCAACATTCTTATGCTCGGTTCGTCTTCCTGCGCACGCATGGAATGACCCAAGGCCGAGAAGTTGATTTCCGGCGTTGGCGTTGTGGTGGGCTGGAAGAACTAACACCCTGCTCACTGCCCCATTCTGAACGAAAACAGCGGGATGAACGCGCGTCGCGCCTTGCGGTTCCATCCAACCTCCATTTCGAAACAGACTCTTGAGAACCGAACCTAAACCCCTCCGACCCTAAGTACTCATCGTTGTAATCGCAAGCTTGAAGAGCAGGGAATGCGAGAAAGAGAACCCACTTCCTTCTTTAGGGTTCGATTAGGGGAAGAAGAAAAACAAAAAAAAAAACAAAACAAAACAAAACAAAGCTCAACGACGTCAACGTTCTTCTCCACCTCATCCCAGAAATCGAATGGCAAGGACAATCATACGACGTCCTGTACCTCAACTCATGGTCACCACCGTGTCAATTCTATTTCAACATACACCACACGCGCATGATCGTGTTCTCTTCGTATCATCGGTTTCGAGTTTTATGCAAGAGTTGAAAATTGTTGAGATTCTTATTTTCTGAAGTTAGACATGCGAGGAGCACGGTCTGGAACTTTAGTTGACGAGACAAAAAAAACTCACTAAGGGAAAAAGGGAAGTAAAGTATAAACAACGCCGCCCGTGGGTATACGCTTCTTTTGGGTTTTGTCAGTCCTAGATTACGGCTGTGAATAACACTTGTCCAGATTGTGGAAGAAGTGCAAAAGTAGAAATAAGAAACGTAATTCATACGCAAGTGAAGAAACATGAAAGATAGCACATAATCAATCACAGGAATCTCCAGAGACACGGTCCTGTTACACAATCTCGTAGCTGGAGAAACGGCTTGGATGACTCACAAAGAAGAGCCTCATCCTTAACCGGAAGAGATACTAAGAGACACACACGAACCTGCAAAGATACAGCGTGGAACCCCGAATAAAAATTGATGACCAGCATCACATGAAATACATACAGGAGCACAGTAGCAGGAGTAATCTATTAATAAAAATCCCAACAGCTGCTTTTAAAAAACCCCAACCTTCTTATTTCACAGGTTTCATGTAACTTTGTTTCACAAAGCATAACTGCAAGTCACTGGCCAGTCTTCAAATTAAGGTTCAGCGTTCGACTAGTGATCAAGCTGATGACCTATCCCACTACGTCTCCTGACACAGAAATTCTTCGACAACCTCTTTCGAATGATCTTCAAGGTTAGTGTATCAGTTACATTGCGAATTCTGCATTGTCTTAATTTTGTGAATAATATTGAGGATAGAAAGCAAAGAACATCGTAAATTATATCACAAGATACACCGTACTGGCACAAGTAATGATACGGTGACGACTCATTCAATATGCCCCCGGAGCATTGAACCTTTGAAATGTTTGCACATGAGCAGAGTAAATAACATAGGAAGAATCAATGGCTACGGTTCTCTGAGAACGTTTATGTTCAATACATAAAGCACTCCCTGTACAAACTAAAAAAAGGATGGCTGGCGAAGCTCAAATTTGTTAGAAGGGAGATGATTCCTGAAGATAGCTGAGGGACATTACAAATGTACTCGTTCACGAACATGGAAACACACTGGAAACCCGCAATAGTCGAGCAGTGACGAGCAAGTACTGCTGTCAGTTACATCTTAGTCAGTAGCCTTGTCTACATCTGATGCCCCTCTTGGCAGTGAACAAGATCCCCAGCACCATAGAAACTAAAAGACAAGGAACCAGATCGGAGGGCAACACTGAAGGAACTAATGGTAGTAAAAATTGTATTGGAAAATAGATCCAACCATAAAGAATCTTTCCATATATCAAACGTCTTACTGATAACCATGAACGATTCCCTTCAACACTAAATGCTTGTCATTGAAAATCGTTCGTTGCAAGTCAGAATTCTGCAACAAAATGTCCAGCTCCCTAGTTCTGAAACTTGCTAAATAGGCCAACTTTGCTAGCTTAATTCCCAAGCTAAACGAGGAAAAGAAACAATTACCAATCTATTCGAACACAAACCAAGGTACTAGTGATCAAAAGGTCACGATTCACTGCAGCAAACCGACCTGCTAGTCGAACTCCCACGCACGCCTCGCCTTGAATTTTTATTCCTTGCACCAGCATCAGTAGTTCAGCTCCGGTACATTTTTCACTACCACCTGCAAGAATTTCAACAAATCCTTAAGTAGAGCACACAACGAAATGAAAGCATCAACGTATTCATATCCATAAAAATAACAAAAACAAAAACCCTGCGCAATCCCAGATCTCGAACTAAAACAAGGACTTCCCTAACAGTCATCAAGATAAACGATACGATCTCAAGACTCGGGCATTTACGAAAATCTCAAGATCAATCCAAACAAGATAGTTGCCAAGACCAATAACATTGCTGATGAAGATGCCATTTACCCTAAACCCTAAATCAGACAAGTCATTTGAGTAAGCCTGCATATGCTTCAAAATGCTTGAGCCATGTTTAACATCCTAGCATATCCATCCTTGCCCTTAGGTTTCTTCCTGACTACTTTCCACAACAGTAAACCTCAAACTTCAATTCCACAGTTCCAACCTTTCAAACAGAAAACCGCTGGGAAGGGCAATCATTTAATGCCTTGGAGCATACAAATTGGAAACAATTGCCAGATATGATAAGATTTTCAAACAAATAAACTCACTGCAGTATTAGATAACTCCAGTTATGCTTGATCGGTGAGGTACTGTAACCAGTGGCCATCGAACCTAAGAACTTAAACCCTAATCCCCTGCAAAAACTTAATTTTCTCGACAAGTCTCCAAAAAACTTGTTCCCCACATGTGATCCCGCCCCTGGCGCTAACCCCTGATATCTCGACTTGACCAACTATACGTGAGTCTGTAGGGCCGCCTGGACCTTCCAATCCTCTTCATTGGAACTCTTGGAAGACATACTCACTTGCAGCTGCTTTTAAGTGGAAGTGAAGAGCTTTTCCACTCAAATGAGAGCTTATGAAACAGTGGAACGAGACAACCACAATAGGGTAGTGGAGCAAGAAGCAACTGTTGCAACATTGCCAAAAGTAACAGATAGTCCTCCACCATTTAAAGCAGCGGGATAATTCCGCACGCTAAATGTCAGTGATCAAAGACCACACACGTCAACATGTGATTATTCCTGCATTCACTTCAATTTAGATTGAATCACAAAACATGATCACATTAGATCAATCGATCACTTGCTTTAAGTCCAATAGTACTGTGTCGCCTACCTTATGACGTAAGAGCAAGTGTTTCGAGCTAATGTGCAGCAGATTATCATTTCTGAAGCTCCCTGTTAGGTTGGGAGCTATGATCCATGACTCAAGCTGGGTAGCATTTCAACGCTCCCTCTATCACATTCAATAAATGATTCCATGCGCGTATTAAATCGTCTCGCTCAGGCATTCTCAAGTACCCAGTCTCTCTCCACATGTTTAATAGTCAATAACTGATAAATAACAGTGCTGACTGAACGCTGCAACAACAATCTCCCGAATTTCTCTCAAGTGCAAATAGTTGCTTCTTTCAGTGTACCTAGATTTTGTGAAACAACAATTGTGATCAAACGCGCTGCAAGAATATTACTCTTCGACACACTCCTAATCAGTCACTCATAATGCCCTAGAAAGTTGCTGCTTCCAAAATGACGCCAGAAGATGCAAAACTCCCACAAAAACTTCTTCTCGGAATTCCGCCCAATGTGGAACATGGCGACCAGCATTCAGCGAACTGTGCATACCTATAACTCGTAAAAAGCCGCTCTGAGAATCATAAACTCCCTTAGCCGTAAGGGTTACTTACAATGCTCTATTCTATAATTTCTTCTCAGTAAGTGCACAAAACTTGACTGCTCCCATCAGTCCTGTCCCCGTGAGCTTGGTTAGTTGGAGTAACCCGATTTTTCTTTTCTGTATTAGAATTTGCAATCTCTATCCACACATTCCGATTGGAAGAATTTGCCAGTACCAGCAATTCGACTTAAGCTCCGTAAACTTCCCGAAGACGACGCCGTGACCCAACTCCAACTGCGCCGCCGACTGGTTCGTCGTGGTTGCAGGTCTACCGACATATATTTCAGGTATCAACTTCGCATAGATACCCGTATCAGGATTGATATTCCGCGGGTATTTCGTTCCAAGGTATTGGAAGCCTTAACGGGGGTTCAGGGGACGGCATTGGTCCCTTGCTATATGAATAATTAATTTTATCCTAACTTCATTAAACCCTTTGAAGTTGAAGTATTGGTTCTTATATTTGAAGTTTTTAGGTTGCAATTTTCACAATAATGCTAAAGTTCCAGTAATGCTAGAGTTTCAGAGGAAAACTTCTAGAAATTTTCAGCACTTAAAAACATCTCGAAAGCTCCAATCGAAACATAAGATTGTCATCTATTTAGAATTTTCTGAAAAAAAATTGTAAGTGTGGGAGGAAAAAAAAAGAAGAATATGAAGCCAAGCGTATTAATAGAATCGAAACAATTCTTTTGGTTCAAGTTCCATGTAATCCAACATACAGCTAAGCTACAACTGTGCGTGTGTGTGTGTGTATATATATAGATATACTTCTGTCTGCATGATCATAAATAGACACCCAATTACACCATTGACATCAGGATGTAAATAGCAATAACAGAAACGACTCAAATTAAGCTTACAATCATCTCCAATTCATCAATACTATTAAAAATAGAACTGCATGCTGTGAAAAGAAAACAGTGGTGTCCTGTTTTTCAGCTACAGAACACTCTTTTCACAAGCCAGAGCAGAGAAAAAGAAAAACTAAAGTGAATAAAAGTCCACTGAGGCTTATCGAATGATAAGACTGTGTTTTACCCCTTTCTGCCCCTCACCCTTCACTCTGTACATCCAGTCAGCATGCGCTTCGATTCCATGCCTCGTTTCGGCGATTTGCAGGAGCTCGAGAATCAGCGCACGGCGAGATCGGAATCATCTGAGAGAGCTCGGGGTTCCACACGGTCATACTGCACGTGATTCATGGGCCAGGGGTGTTGGTTCGATGCTGTGGGGAGTCACGCACCTGGTCCAGATCGATCAGACATGCTGGAATATCGACATCGATCTACAACTTGCAACATCAACAACAACAACAGAAACAAAATAAACAAAACAAAAAAAACGAAAAGAAAAGAAAAGTATAAACGACGATGTCGTTTTTCTCAGTCTCCCACACAGAACAATCCCCCTTCGAAACCGCCCTTTTGTGTTTTTTTTTTTTTTTTTTTTTTTTTTCCATCAGAATATGGATATGCTGCATGCCGCTGACTGCCACTGTCAGCTAGCGTGCTTCGATGAGAACTTTCGAACACGATGGTTGTGGCTGGTGCTGGAAGAATAATGGGATTGTTGCTCTTATTACTGGGATGTTTGAATAGGAGCAGCTCATCATGGTGCGAGATTATACTGATCATCGCACTCTTGTCCCTGTTGAGACTTGGGTCGCAACAGCTTTTCCTCCGACGTGCCAGTCATCGGCTTATCCTCCTGCGGCTGCGGTGAAGAGGTGGCACTTTTGCCTTGTGGTGGACGCCTCCGCGCGGCCGTTGGGTTGGTTTGTGCTGATGTGTGTTGGATCATGGAGGAAGAATTAAGTGCCAAGGCTCGGGGTTGGTACTGGATCGCTTTCCTGAGGTTTTGTGACGTGCACACTCGACGCTTGCTTCTCCGAGAAGCAGTCTACAGTACGCGGCGACTGTGGTGGACTCTGCAGACCAGTGAAAAGGCGATCCTGGCCAGTCTCAAGCTGTTCCAGAAAATGGTGGCAAATTGTAGAAAGTTCTAAATACGGGGAATTCCTGCTCCAAAAGAATCAGGAAACTTGCAGTTTAGGGTAATGGGTAGTGTATTTATGGCAAGTGTGGACGAGGGGAATATGGCGGCATTATATTGTTACAGTT